TCGGGAGATAACGCTTTGTAGGATGCTTTCGTTGGAGCCCGCCTTGCCGTGGTTTGGGTGGCTCCGGGTGCGATCCTGCCCTGTCCCCTCTCGCCCCCCGCTGCAGTTCACCTGGAGGGATTCTGCGGCGGCACCAGGTTCGACTGCAAAGACGTGAAGTTCGTCGTGGGCGAAGGGGAGGACCACGACATCCCCATCGGCATCGACAAAGCCCTGGAGAAGATGCAGAGAGGAGAGCACTGCATCCTCTACCTCGGGCCACAGTAAGGAGCATCCCTGCGGGGATGCCGTCTAGTTTTAAGCTTCCAGCATCCGAGGTCGTTTTAGCGCTTGTGGAAGGCGGCGATCCCGAAAATAAGACGCTGGGAGAGCCTCGGGTTAGCAATGCCAGCAGGGGTGGCACGAGCGACCCGGGGCGTGTAGGCAGGAATCCGGAGATGCTTTAAAAAATCGGGTAAAAGGGGTTTATCTGAGTCCTGTGGCTGAAAGGAAAATGTCTGCCTGGAAATCACCAGGACTGGGTCCTTACACTGGAGAGAAACCTGTGTAAAAAGGCGGATTGGATGCATCCGGAGAGGATGACTCCCAATATATAATGCGTTGTATATTGTCAGATATCTTTGCTCGTGGGGAATAACATCACCCTGGCCCCAAAGCGTTAGAAAGCTGCAGGCAGGGAGCTGGGTGTGAAGCCAGAATTAGCAACCTGGGTCTGTGTTTACGGCCAAACGCTGCCAAAATGACGATTTTTCCCCCCGGCTCCTCTGACAGCTCCTTTCTGCCCTTTCAGGTACGGCTTTGGCGAGGCGGGGAAGCCGAAATACGGCATCCAGGCGAACGCGGAGCTGGTGTACGAGGTTACGCTGAAAAGCTTTGAAAAGGTGAGGGTAGGAGCGCGCCGGTCCCTCCCCAGGTTACGGGAACGCCTGTCCCCTTGCAGCGTCCACCCTTTGTCCCTGGCGTGGCTGCAGCCCGGCCCCTGCTGAAGTGGATACGTCACCAAGGATCTCTGTGTTCTTAATTTGTTCTTCTCTGTTGGTTTGTTTTATTTTTCTGGCTGGGGTCCAAGGCTGGTTCTCTTATTTGTTCCTAGCCTTGTCC